GCCACCGACCATACAGATGATAGCGCCGCGCACCATCTCCATCCACAAAGTGTACTGCTACAGTGATAAACATTAATTAACACTCTACATTAAAGGTAGATGATACGGATTATTGAAGGTTCATAAAGGGCAAAAAGTATACCGCCGATAGCTCCGGTTTTCTAGCGAACAGGTGCCTTATAAGGGCAATAAGTCATAACTATATGGTCAATTCTTTTCGCAGCTGTCCACGCCGAATTTGGCTACCCTATAGCTGTACTAAATGTCGACAGCTCTGTTGGACAAACCAGACGCAGAGAGCATCAAGTTGATGTAAAGCACCGATGAGACTTGCCTATCTTCTGAATCTAAGCAGAAAACAGGAGCCCATTCAGCGGCTTTCAGGCGGCTTTCCTTGGTTCTCTTCACTTCTGCACCTGTCAGCAGCTCTACTTCACTCGCAGCAGGAGACCAATTCATCGTATCATGTGTCTTTAACATCGGCATGATTTTAATAGTCTGATTAATTCTGCTTGAGCCTCTGAGATTGATTGCTAACCAAATTAGTATGTAGCAATTTTAGAGGTTTAAGCAGTAGTAGCTATCAGACACAGTAACAGGGGGGGGGGCTACAGGTCAAGCCACGCTTTTTTAAAACGATTTTCTTGCATCTTCTTCGGAGGCGTACACCACCTACAGAACCATGTTTCATTTTCGTTGAACGGTTTTAGAATTACAAGAAAAATTGTGAAAGGTACTGTTAATGGTTTGATTCTTCCCGTAACGTCAAAATGCCTTCAAGATTGGCCTTTTTTAGGGCTTAATATAGTCCTTATCATGGATCATGAAGACTGGGTCCAGAACAGTACAAATGGATAGAGCAATGGTCATATCAGTTGTAGACTGATTGACAGCTATGAATGACAGGTCGGGGAAACTGATGCTCTATAATCATCCTGGACGATTTCAAGTGTGAGAAATTCGTTCTCTCCTTGTTCTCCTTTCCGATCGATTAATGGGAGAGATTAATTTAGAGTCACTTGTATGGCTCATTGAGACTAAAGGTTACCTACCAATTAGAAGACGGTTGTTCAAGGCGAATATTTGGAGATGGTAAGTGATGCAGGAGAGAAGAAAAAAGCGAGAAAAATGGCCCAGAACCGAAGAACCCTTTCCTGCCCATTGATTTGCGTACTGACGCGACTTTCATCCCTCTTCAACGGTAACGCTCTCTCTGCTAAACGGGTGGAGGCTCATACAAGAGACGAGGGGGGGGGCGTACCGAGCCAATAGCGCGTCAACTGGACCGCGGCAGATCGCCGGGAAAAATCTTCGATGCGAATTGCGTGTCGGTACGCACCCCTAGGGAGGTTCGCCCGGCTGCCTACTAGGTGAGGTTTCCCTTTTTCGACCTTCGTCCTCATCGTGGAGTCCTCCTTCTAATTTGTACTGAGTTCACCACTTGCTACAAATTGCATCCCCCTTTCAGTGTTGAGTTGTGTTGATTCCTCACTAAGAGACTTGTCATCTCCGGGAAACAAAGGTCGCAAAAGAAATGACGTGGATGTTGAATCTAAGTGGTGCGAATGAACAATTACCACAGCTGTAGATAACAATAATACTAGTATGTCGAAAAATTCATCGACTCTGGACCACGGCAATTTATTTTGTACGGCAAAGCACGCACTAATCGCATTGCAGATTAGGATGGAGTGCGTGGCGCAACCAGGACGAGACTTGTCAACGCCTGACATTTTAATTTCTATACTGTTATAGTATTTGTTATTGAGGATTTCTTCTGAGGAATTCTAGCTTTCCATAGAAACTCCCTTGCAGCGGCTTTATGATTGAGAGACTCCTCTCCCCGTAGATGGGATGAATTTCTTCAACGTTTTTGTTCGGAGATGGATTTTGACAAGATATTTCCCAATTCTTGGGATTTGTGTCGAGTCTGGTCACATTATAGAAAGATGTTTTAGGGGTTTCCAAACTTATCGATTTCGCAGGGAATCATTTTTGAGAGAAAGTTATGGTTGCTCATTAAGACTCGATATTACATAAATTTTTTTTTTTAACAATGGACCTTTTATTTCCAGCAATGGGCGATACGAAAGAGAGGATCCAATAGCTTTCTGAAACACAAATTGATGCGCCTAAATTATTCTTGCACAGCTATGCAATAACTAATAATTTATTTGGGTGAAAAACACGTTCCGCTGATGAAAAAACCGCCAGAGCTTATTTTTAATTTTTCAAATTAGTTCAGCAAATATTGCGAATGTGAAAACAGGGCGAAATTCCAGCTTTTCCCTTAAAAACCAAGACATTACATATTTCAACTTCAATTGACGGGATACTGTCGCATATTGCGTTCGTTTCTTGGCAGATGCGATAATTCAACATGTTTTTGTTGGGGCAAGACTTCAACGACTTATCTGTAGACGGAAATGAGAGGCGACTTGAATATGTGATATTACCGCATTGCATGACTGGACAGGAGTGAAAACCCCGGTCGAATATTTCTTTAACGGAAACATCGAGGATTTTCCCTGTTTCAGTCAAGCGTCTTCCTGCGCGGGCATTACTCTCACCACGCAAGAGCCGTCTGTGCCCTCCGCGCGTACATTCACTCTCGACACTGCTCTCATGCAAAATAGAGCCATGTTCGAGGAATTCCTCGACCTCATTCCCTGTTGACTGGTGAGGATGGCTGACTCTTACAATCAATGAAGAATTGGGATTTCGATGTTTACGCTGCAAGTTTCGGTAACAGTTTTCTATTTTCGAGGAAATGACGTATTACTAAATTTTTAGGATCAAATAAAAGTTTTGGTTTCGCAAGTAGAGCCAATCTCACAAAAGTGGCCGAGATGCGCAGTGAATCGAGTGGGGCAGAGTTACGATACTTCTAACTAAACTGGTCCTTTGATATGGGAGTAGTAACATGTGCTGTTAGGAAAATTGAAGAACGTTAACATCAAGATTTTCAGCCATTTTTCCTTAGGAAAGAATTAAGGAATGATTGTTGGAAAGAACGGCCGAAGAAAAGATTCAATTTGATAAATCCGAAACACTTTGGAAAACAATTGAACTTGACAGCCGTCGGACGAGAAGAAGTGTTCTATTGCAAAACGCCGTAAAATAACCTAATGTACGGGACGTTGGAGGACGAAGGGAAGACGCTATGTTTGACCAATACTTGATAAGAAGGAATGTTATCAATGAGCATGTCAGCAGTCGACTCCCTCACAACCCATTTTTACCCACCTTGCTCTAAACAATACTGCTTCACTTTGTACGAGTTTATGCCCAAAATGCAGTAAACAATAATAAACCTTCATCTTATGAGTAATGTGAACTAGCACAAACAACAAAAGACTGTAATCACAGAAAAGGCGTGTAATATCAACAATAAATAGTAATGAATGCTAGAAACAAAAAAAACATCGAAAAAGAAAACAATTCTCGATACTAAAATAAAAAATACTGTATAATAGAAGAGGAGAAGCTACAACAACGGGAAAGTAGTGAGACCTGAAAAAAACTTTTTATGGCTTGATCCATTTGAGAAATCCATTCAAATACAAAATTATACTACAAACTTAAAAAATTGACATATTTCCCGAGCGTTCTCAGTTCTCAGGGAATATTTTCGATAGAGCAATGCCATAAAATGTACTCAGCACTAGATTATCGCATGCCGGCTTATCGTCCGATTCGGGACCAGGAAGTTCAGAGTACGTGTTCGCTCTATAGGGAATTACACTCATAATATTTCGCCTTCACATTATAGAGATTCTACAATGAGACACTGTGGCTGACTGGAGCACAAGCACATGAGCTAGCTGTGCATTTTACCCTCCGGTACCTTCTTTTGCATGTTTCTTATCCACAGAAAGTGTTGAAAGTGATGGCGAACAAGTAGAATAGCAAATGACCGGGGGAACGATACTGTACTGTGAAGTAACGTTTCGAACCTTGTTGCATAGAAAGATGGACTTTATTTCGTGATCACGACGCATGAGGAGCAGCCACCATATGTACACTGCCAAGAAATTTTCTATAGGGGCGCATGCATAGTCGATCGTCCAATCGTAACGATCGCACAGCGTTAGATACGTATCGATCGTCCAATCCTCGGACACGTCTGACGATCGATACGCATCCAATGCTGTGCGATCGTTACGATCGGACGACCGACTATGCATGCGCCCTAAGACGCAGTGATAATTTCAGTCCCACTAACACGGCAATAAGTATATTCAAAGCTCAGAAGACTTAAAAGAGAGCAATATCAAAAATAGGCGAATAGCCATGCTGAATCGAACTATAAAAGCACAACGAAGCTGGAGTTTTATGTGCCGTAAGGTGCCAACACAATCAGTTTTGTTGTTTGATAAGTTTCTTGTGCCTTACGAGGTTGTTCGGTGGAACATTTATTAATGGCCTAACGTTTCGACTGAATCGTCGTCTTCAGAGGCCGTCGGTTCCACCCTTTGAGCGGAAAGGTCCGCTGCCACACAGAGCGCTAGTCAGTTAAAACTTAAAACTTAGAGTTTTAACTGACTAGCGCTCTGTGTGGCAGCGGACCTTTTCCGCTCAAAGGGTGGAACCGACGGCCTCTGAAGACGACGATTCAGTCGAAACGTTAGGCCATTAATAAATGTTCCACCGAACAACCTCGTAAGGCACAAGAAATTATCAAACTTACAACTGACATGCCGAGGTTACAAGAAGAGAGAAGTTGGAGAGTTTTGTTTGTGTTCAACAACACTGAGAATTGCATTTCATGGAAAGAAAGTCTGTTTCCCGTAGTTGAGAAATGACAGTTCAGCGATGCTTTTATGTTCCCGCCCCACAACATCATAGCTTTTTTGTACAAACTTGCTGATATGTGAAGACAATGACTACCTGTGTATTTCACTTCTTCTTCTTATTCTTCTTGGCAGCTGCGGGACCCGTAGAAGAACTAGCTGCTACATATCCAGGTTGTCGAGTCTTCAATTTTGGAATCATGGAAGCTACATATTTATATAACGCGGTTCCTGAAATAAATTGAATCGCTCGCGTTCTGTGCAATGTAGATGCTAATGTGAACCCAAAAAAAGTTCTTGGGAAAAAATTCATCATCCCTACTGTTTATTCTGTTTCTTATAAAAAGAAGTTGCAACAAGTGATGCAGAAAAGCCGGAAAAAAATTATAATGCAAAATGAGGCAAAGCAGCAAAGAAAGCGACTTCTTTCAAAGCCAAAAATGATCCCAAACAATAAATAAGTGGAACACTTGAATAAAAAACTAGCAGCAAAGAAAGGCGTTTAATTTGATTTAATAGCCACAAAGAAAAGCGTTTGATTCGATCAAATTTTTTGATTACACAAAGAAATTGTATTTTTTACGAAAACTACTCTATTAGCTCCGCTTTGCATATATTTTACAGCTAGTTGGAACACGAAATAACAAGGAATAGGAACAACTAATTAAAAAAGAGAAGGTAGAAGGGATAATCCTTATTCTTCACCGTTCCATCATCATTCTTGAGCATAACACGTACTCGACCAAGCTTTTCAGGTTCCCGGTCTTGCTCACGAGGATGAAGTTTACCTCGCTATAATAACAAGAGGAATCCGAAAATAACTATTACACGAAAGCCTTCACAGAACGCAGATACCTCGAGTACGGGATTCAGGCCGCTCGCTGAAAGAACATCGAAGATTTCAACAGAAGTGGGATTTTCAACACCCTGAAAGAGCATAAAAAGTGATTTTCTAGAAGCAAAGTAGCACAGTTTATGCAAAAAAGGTTTGTAGAAATTTTTGACGGGGAGAAAAACTGTAAAAATGACTGCAACTCAGAATGAACAGATTTCGACACTTTGTTCTCTGATTTTCCTACCGTGAACTTCGAAGCACTTACATGGGGGAGGAGTTCAGGGTGGGAGAGGAAAAGAATAATTTAGTCGATTGCTTCCTCTATTTCGGTTGAAAGATAAGATACGTTAGCGAAGCGCAACAATTGTACAGAATACAGCGCAGAAGAAATTGCCACTTCTCACCATCAGGCTTTCCAAATCAAAAATATGGTATGCAAAGAAATTCGGTTATTTTAAGGTTTAGAATTTCTGACTATTCGTTTGCGAACTGAAATACACTGAACTTAAACCAAGAAATACCCAACAACCACTGAATTAACACCGTCAGTGTAAGGAACTCTCATCCATGGCAACAAGAATTTGTCAGGCCAAAATAACTGGAAAAAGATAAGAGAATTGATCGTATCTGGCATACCAAACAAGTAGGGAGGACACAATTTTATAACACTCCTAAAAACATAAACCCTTGAGGAAACTACTGAAATTGAACAGTTACCAGCCCCCTCAAGTTCATGTAAACACACTAAATGTGATGCAAATTCCAACTTATTCACGACTACTGAGAAGCATGATTTATCGAACAAAGTCGAATAAAAGAACAACTCGTACCAATTCTTTAGGAATTTTTCGACCCTGTTGTAACGACTTTTTGGAGTCAAGATAAGTTGGATAGATAACAACCCATCGTTTCTCGTCTGAGAACGGTTTTGCCTTCACATCGACCATTTTCTGGAAATCTTATAGGTACATAAAAGGAATCATAAAAAGGAAA